TCATCGTCGTCTCCTTCTTCGGCCACTCCTTGAGCGAGATCGTCAGGTGCCCCTTCTCCGTCTTGTTGAGAGGCACTCCGTACTTGTTGATCGCCTTGAAGTCCGCCTTCCGATCCTTGATGTATATCACTGTGTCGAGCTCCTCCAGCTGGTGGATGCTCAGCAGCATTGGCGTCTTTGTCTTCGGCAACCTCTGGAAGCGTAGGTTCACGTCAGCTCCAGCAAGTCCAGCCGCCACCTCTTGTTCTCCTTCTGCCATGACCGGGGCGCTATCATTCACGCCTCGGAAGCGCAAGGATGATCCTCTCATCCGCGCGGTGACCCTGCCGTCCTCTGCGCAGCCGTCCAGTGATATAGAACCTCCACATCCACGTAGGCACGCAGTGCCCAGTACAGCATGTCCATCTGGAACAGGTCCTTCTCGCACTGCGTAGGCTTCGATTTCTTCCAGCTCCTCGCAAGGTTGCTGCCGCCATGGCGTTGGTGCGCGGCCGCCCTCTGGAACGCAGTTGGTTCCAGCTCGGCGTTGCGTCCACAACCATGTCGGTCGTACTCCATTCGGTAGGCGCTCGCAGGTACTACTCACGATGTCACGGTGCTCCGAGGTCCTGTCCCAGGCTGCTTGGCATAGATTGTAGGCCATATTCCTGAGACCGTTCGGCGCCATCTCCATGGCGATGCGCATGAGCTGCTGGAAGCGATGTAGGGCCCAGTCCAAACAGAAATCCATATAGCCCCTGTAGGCCGCTTCCATGTTCTCGCAGCTTACCCACAGCGCTGCGATCTGCTCCGCACGATCTCGTATCTTCTGTAGGTCGACCTCTGCGTTGCCTTCTTCCAGGTAGTCTGTACTTGGTCTGCTGGGCTCCGTCCTCGACCACGCCCCTGGTGTCGGTCTGCTCGTTGAGCTCACTGGAGTGCTCAGGGGTTCGTCAAATTCTTGTACTTGGTGCTCTCCAGGTACTGGGTGTGGTTCGCGTGCCTGGTCGATCCTCTCTTGGAAGTTCGGCTGGTCTCCTGCTGCTGATACCGCGTAGGGGTTCACGATCTGCTCCTCGACGTCGATTCTCACCTTCGCCAGACTCGTGATCTCCTCCATCGCCACGTCTATGCTTGCCAGCTGGTCGTTGACAATCTGAATGGCGGTCATGTCCATCGAGCTGTCCGCCATCAGCAGCTTGACCGCGGTCGCCATTGCGAATCCAGCTCGTCGTAGAAAACCCCCTGGTCGCCCGTGAAAGCCTCGTCCTCCACGTCCGCCCCCTCGTCCTCCACGTTGTAGCGCACTGGATCCACTCGCTGGTGACCTCGTCTTTTCGCACTCGGGGTCACCCTTCCAGTGACCCTCCTTGTGGCACGCGTCGCACGTCGTGCGCGCCTTGATCTGCTTCAGCTTATCCTCAGCCTCTTTGCTGTCCATCTTGACGGAGCCCTGCTTGTTGATGTTGGCTTTCCAGCCTCTATTCGACTTGCTCTGAGCAAGCCGCTCCCGGGCCTGCTTGTAGTTGGGCTTGTGGTTGCGCCGTCCAGCTTCCCAGCCAAGGCGTTGAGCCTCCGTCGCCAGGGTGTCGCACTCCCCCTGGCTGGTCTCGTCCGGGTCCACGTCATCAATCACGCCCTCGTACTCGTCGACGTCCGCTGCAAGTGCGTCGTAGTCCGCATCACTCAGGAAAACGCCCTCGTCGCACGGTGCACATTCGTCTCCGAGTAGAGCATCTTCTTCTTCGTCGTCGTAGTCCACCGGGTAGGCTCCGCATCGTCCATGTCCACGATCGTCTCGGCCTGTGCTGTCCAGCTGTATCAGCATGGCTGCCGTCACGTCGTCCCATATGTACTCGTTGTTGCATTGGCCAAGGATTGCCTTGTGCTCTTGCATGCTGATGTTTGCTGGCTTTAGTAGAAAATATGTCCGTAGGTCTTCGCTGACTGTCGTGTTCGTTGAAAGTGACTTGAGCCGCTCGTACTCCGTCTCTCGCCTCGATATGTAGTCCTGCACAGACTCCGTTCGATTGCGAAAACCTCGGAAGAAATACTCCTCGAACGCTTGCTGCTTCTTTAGTGGTGCGATTCTCTCGCACGCCTGTCGCACTGTAGTTACCACCAGTTTGACTGTAGCAAGTGGGTCATTACCTGCTTCGTCCAAAACTGCTTGCGTACTGATATCAGCCTTCTTTCGTGTGTGTGTCCACGCTCGTCCATTTAGAGAATTCTTGAGATTGATCGCGTAGAGCTTCTTGATTTTCTCCTCGCTCGCGTGGTAGCCGAGTATTGCACGTTCCTCGAAATCCTCGCCGTAGGATGGGTCGCCATTGTAGTGTGCCACGCCCTCCTTGTCAACGAAGAGGGGGCCGTCATTGAACTGCTGCTGCTGCCTGGACGTCATCTTGATGACTGTGATGCTACTGAGCTTGTCTCCGATGTAGTAGCTGTCTTGATCGTTGCTGCTGTAGTTTTGCTCGCCCGGGATGCTGTTGATGCAACTATCCTCGTCCAAGCTGTCGTAGGTAATGATTTTGAGCGTCTTGTCGATCACCGTGATCTGTTGAGCGCGGTGGTTAAGCACCGCGAGGATGTAAGTGAGCGCCAGCATATATGTCTGCACGGCCACTCTGTATGAAATCCTCGTACCGCGGACTGATTCAGCTCCGCTGCCAGTGTAAATGTTGATCCAAATTTATCCACCCACAACCTCTTGATGCAAGAAGAAATAGATAAAATCGGATACTATTCCGATGTAAAGCTAGACAGTCGTTGAATGCGTCCACCCTCCCGCCACAGCTGGCGGGTCCAAGCCAAAAACGGAAATAGTGAACAAGAGAGCGCAAGCATGAGCGAGCGAGAGCAGCAGCAGAGATAATTCTAATTACCATCATATATCTGACATCCCTGCTAATACAACTTTCACAAGAGGGAAGGGGAAGGGCGCGGGGAGAGCGGCAGGGAGGGGAGGAAGAGAAGGCAGGAGGACGAGCAGCAGGACAGGGCAGGGTAGGGAGGAGAGAGGGGGAGGGGAAGGAGGGGGAAGGGGGAGGAGGAGGAGGAGGAGGAGGAGGAGGAGGAGGATGAGGAGGAGGAGGAGGAGGAGGAGGAGGAAAAGGAGGAGGAGGAGGAAGAGAAGGAGGAGGAGGAGGAGGAGGAAGAGGAGGAGGAAGAGGAGAAGGAGGACGACGACGACGATGATGATGATGAGTAGGAGGAGGAAAAAACACCACAATCGTAGGATTCAGGTTTGGTCCAACTGGGCGCGCATGCGCCATGTCTGACATCACAGCTCCCCCCCACGCACACATCTTCTCACTGCGCGGAGTCCGTGTCTGTCCGCCGATCGGGGTGCCCAAGAAGACCTTGATCCCCGGATGCTAGGTGAAGGATTTGTCCCATCGTTTACTGCAAAATGACCATGGGAGGCTTGTACAGTGAAGGAAGAGGAGGAGGAGGAACATTAGCAGGAGCAGAAGCAGGAGGACGACGAGAGAGGAGCTGGACGGCAGCGACGAGGAAGGAACCGGATCCAGATATGCATATCGCCCGCGCTGGAGCGAGGAAAGCATTCTGAACGAATGTGGCCACGGCTGCAGCGGGAGCGCTGATTCGGAAGGGCCAAAGGCGTCTGGAGTGAAACCCGCATGGTGCATGCCAAGACTCACTGGGAAGCAAGAGCCCAAATGGAAGCCCAAATGTAAGCCCAGACGAAAACCCAAATGGAAAGTGTGTCCTGTGTGTGTGTGGCACGAAGAATGCGCGACAGGTGCGGCACCCCGCGCGGGACAACATCAGGGGAGAGAGGGGGGCAGGAAATATACTGTGCAGCTGTGGCAGAGGAGGGCGGCAAGGAAGGAAGGGGAGGAGGGGGAAACCGAAGGAGGGGGGAAGGACGAGGAGGAGGACCACTGTAAACGCAATACGCATCAACGACGTTGCAATAAACCATCTGTCTCCCGGTTTCCTCTTCAGAGGCCCCTGCCAAAATGTATGTTCGTAACGGGGAGTTTGGAAAACAACTGTCTGAGAATCTTCAAACTTCAACGCCCCGAAAAAGCGCGACGGTTGCGTCCTGAAAAGCACCATCCCTGCGACGTCAACACCGCGCATCAACGCGACTGTCGCGCCCTGACAACCCTAAATCTCACCAGAACACCGTTTCTGCTGCGACTTCAGTCATGCGAATCCTTGGAACTGATTTAATCAGTCAAGACGAATGCGCGCGGCGCTCATCCGAGACACACATTTTGAAGTGGAACTACCGTCCATCCACGAGGCTGCGACAAAAAACGAATGCGCGCGGCGCGAAAACGATTCCCACATGTTGAAAGCTGCCCGCCCTCCATCCTTGAACCTGTTGCGAACGAACTTCAAGTCGAAGGGTTTGCGTGACAGCCGAATCTTCGGCCCGATGACATCAGCGCCCGTCGACGTCGTGGCGGGGGCGCTGTGCGTGGTGGGGAGGCCATGTCGGCGGCCCCACCGTGGCCGCCGCGTCGAGCTGGCTGGCAGCGATGAGCTGGGGGCGGCCGCATCGCTGGTAGCGGCGCACATCGGCCAACCCATCAGGAGCGTGGTTTGCGATGCATTTGAGGGAGCGGGGAAGCCAGGTCGACCAATGCAGAAGTTCGAAGTAAAACGCATGAAGCGCCAAGGTTCCCAGCCCAGCTAACATCCTCGAAACTGCTGCAATATCTTAAGACGAATGCGCGCGGCGCGCAGGCGAGATCCACAGTTTGCAAACTTCCCACCCTACATCCTTGAAACGGCTACGAACTTTTAAGACGAATGTGCGCGGCGCTGTTGCGAGAGCCACATTTTGAAAGCGGCCCGCCCTCCATCTTTGGAACTGATGCAAGTGACAATATTCAGGATGATACACTGTGGTGAAGAAGTCTCAGGCAAAACGCATGGTCCGCCCTACGGACACGTCTGGGGGTGCGACACGGGTACACTACTTGTCAGGAAGACGGATGGAGCAAGAGGATGAGGAGGACAATGGGAAAGGATCGATCGGGGGGGGGGGGGCAGGGGGAAGGCTCGAGGATCGAGATGCTGCTGCTGGTTACTTCTTTCTGGATCCTCTTCAACACAGTATGGCCAGAAGTCCGTCCTGTGACAGTCGGGGGCGGCCAGGAGGGGGGCGTCCAAGAGGCGCGCGCGTTCGCGGCTGTGCCGAGCGGCTGCACCCGCAGAGCATCCCGCCCGGAGCGGCGCGCCGCCCGCCCGCAGGGGGGAGGAACCAGCGGGGCACGCTCGCGAGGCTGCTCAATCCGCTGGTCCTAGGTCTGCAGGCCCTGATTACAGGAGGGGAGAACGGCATCAGCACAGTCGGCGGCGAGCCCAAGGCGGAGAATGAGACAAGGGGCGGGCCGTCTCAGAAGGCTCGGAAGCCGGGCATGCCTTCTGAGAGGCGTCCTGAGCCTTCCCCGGAGACACAGAAAACTTCTCGGAACGCGCGAGGGCTCGCCGCCGACATAAACTTTCGAACCCAGCGCGGACTTCTTGGAGCGGCGCCGGAAGCGCCGCCAGGGGAGGCCAGCGCCGAGCCAAGAGATCTGCGCGGAGCTCCGAAAGTGCATGGCTGTGCCATTGTCTTCTTCGACTGCAGGCCCTGGTGCATAGGCGGCCCGAGGTTCCACCTTACCGCACTGCCCCTCCAACGGCCAGACCAGCGACAAGGGCAAGGACGATGCGAGGCCTACCCGCTGAGTGTGCCGCGGTGGGCCTGCTCTGCCGCCGCCCGTCGCTGATGGTCGCTGCCACGGCCACTGCTGCGGCAACTGCTGCGGCCACTGCTGCGGCTAATGTGGTCGTCGTCCTCGCGTCGACGTGTCACTCGCACTGTCTTGCGTTGGCGTCGTGGTATCGTGTCGTGCCGTGCTTCTCTGCCGGGACTCAGACCCCTTCGGGCGGGCTCGGCTAGGTCTTGAGCCTCGGGCGTCGTCCTCGCCCTCCTCCTCCTCCTCCTCCTCCTCCTCCTCCTCCTCCTCCTCCTCCTCCTCCTCCTCGCCGTTCTCCTCGCCTTCCTCCTCGCCCTTCGCCCTCATCCTGTGCTTTCCCCTCCTTGACGTGCCCATTTTCTGACGGGCACGGCCACCTATCAAGGTCCATGCCCTGCAAATGGTGTGCGCACCCCATCCAGGGCCAAGGCCGTCGTCGGCACGGCATGATCGCACACGTCGTCGGCGCCACATACGGCGGGGAATGAGAAGAAAAAACAGGAGGGGCAGGGGTGTACGAGGAAGATAAGAATCTAGGAACGAAAACACAGAAGCATGGGAGGTCAGTGTGGATTTCTTGGATCGGCGCTGGGCACTCGTCCATGGCGCGCGGAGCGCGCCAGGCGCGGCACTGGAGGCGACGCCAGGGGGGCCCAGCGGCGCTCCAAGACATCCTCGCAGACCTCCATGCCTTTGTTTCTTCTTTGCAAGGAGGTCAAGGACGAGGAGGGTCAAAATTCACGCGTCCCTTCGGCGATCGCCGTGGGAAGGGGATCCCGCTCGGACAGCGCTAGGACAGCATGCACAGTCGCGCCGGCCGCGCACCTACATGTTCTCGGACAAATGCACACGAGGCTCAGCGGCGCACAATGCTACGCAATCGCGGCAAACTCTGCAGTGCTATTGAAGGCGCCAATATATAATATATATATCTCGGATGTCTACCATCTGCGAATATCTCTAGAGATCCTCGAGGCCATCTCAGCCCAACCCCGCTTCCGACAGGCATCCCTCAGGACCGCGTACGTCGCGCGGCAGGCGGGCATGCTCGCTTCAGCCAGCTCCTTGTACAACGCGACGGCCGCTTCCAGCCGCTCGACCTTGACGTAGCAACGAATCGCGTCGTAGTAGGCGCTCATGTCATGGTCCATGAGCTCCGCCTGCATCGACTCAAACAAATCCAGTGCGTCCGCGCTCCTGCCCGCGGTAGTGCACGCCCTGAGAGCAGAAGGATCAATCAGCATCGCATCGGGCAATCGGATCGAATCGGAATGTGCGCCGGACCTGGCCGCATCGGCACCGAGTCGAAATCGACTAGGATCGGCTGCGACAGGATGCACAACAACTCCACGCAGGCATCGCACCGCATCGGATCCTCGGAATATCGGAATCGATCCGCATCGGGCCGGCCATAATCAATCGATTCGGATCTGCTAGATTGAAATGGACCCTGGCGGAGGAGGAGGTGGAGGAGGAGGAGGAGACGGAGAAGACGGAGGAGGAGGAGAAGGAGGAGGAGGAGGAGGAGGAGGAGGGGGCGGAGGAGGAAGTGGAGGAGGAGGAGGAGGGAGGAGGGAGGAGGGAGGAGGGAGGAGGAAGGAGGAAGGAAAGAGGAGGGAGGAGAGAGGAGGGAGGAGGAGGAATAAAAACTCAGCCCCCCGATCTCTCGAGGCGGATGTTCAGCCGTGGAGGCGAGACGCCTCCAGGAGAGGCCCAGCGAGGAGGAGAACAGCGCCAGGGAGGACCGCCGCCCGCGACGGGGCCTCCTGCGGATTGCTGTCGGGCGAGATCTCGGGCCTCGGGCAGCCGTTCGGGACGGGCCGGGCATGCGCATGCCCGGAGCGTCCGTGACGAGGCGCGGCGGATGGGAACCATCCCGGGCCCCGGGGACTTTCGAAACCCTCGCGGAAGCACGCGGAAACCCGCCGCCTCGGCGGGCCCTCCTCTCTTGGCCGTGCGCGGAGGGCGTCCTGGCGCCGCCGAGGGGCCACCCGGGCGCCGCCGCGGGGCCATCTTGGCGCCGTCGTGGGGCAACCTTGGCCCCGAAGGCGTCCGAGAACCCCGCGAGAACGCGCAGAGAAGCGTTCTGGCCTCGAGGCGGGCCCTCCTCGGGCTCCCCCGCCGCCGCTGTCCGTGCCCGCCCGCCCCTCTGCCACCCCGCGCAGAGCGCACCGCGCAGACGCAACCTGCTCCTGCCCCTCCCCTGCCCGGAGCGCGGCAGGAGGAGGACGGGAGGGAGGAGGGAGGGAGGAGTAGGAGGATGAGGAGGGAGGAAGGAGGAGGGAGGAGGGAGGAGGAAGGAGGAATGAGAAGGAAAGAGGAGGGAGGAAAGAGGAGGGAGGAGAGATGGGGAGGAGAGATGGGGAGGAGGAAGAAGGAAAGAGGAGGGAGGAGGGAGGAGGGAGGAGGCGGAGGCGGAGGCGGAGGTTCGGTTCGGCTCTCCTCGAAAGCAAGGTGCACGACCTCGACAGCCGGGGGGGGGCGCAACTAATGAGTGGCACAGCCCAGGAGGAGGAGGAGGAGGAGGAGGAGGAGGAGGAGGAGGAGGAGGAGGAGGAGGGAGGAGGGGAAGAGGAGGGGAAGGAGTAGCAGGAGGGGTGGAGAAGCAGAGGGAGGATGCAAGGGTCAAAGGGCTGGCTGCGTCCTGATGGGCCGCGGCCCGCGAGGAGGAGGGACGGAGGCCGCAGAGCGCGAGGACTGGAGGGGGGCACCGACGGCCGAGGGGGCGACGGGAGGGCGGCAAGACCGAGCAGAGTCAGGGCCCCGAGGACCGACCGAGACCGGAGGGGGGTGGTAGGAAAGGGTAGGGCTCGGCCTTGCTCGCACGTACACCCTGCGAAATGCTTAAAAAATCATGGGTTAAGAAATTCTTAGTCTCAGAACTTGAATAAAAACCCAAAATGTCCATTAAAATCTTAGGAGTGACATTGAAACATTAAGAATAATCGAGACTCTGGCCGAAATTTTAAGTTTTCTTAAGCATCGCCTGAGGTGTATGGGGGGTCGGTATGAAGCTGCACAATCGGTGTGATATACTCGTGCTCGGCCGGATGGTGGAAGGGGGTAACCCACATGCATGGTGAAGAGAAGGGCCCCCATTGAGGGCCCTCCTCTTCACCCCCCGTGCAGGTCACCTCCCTTACCACCCACCCAACGTGCACAACTCTTACCCGTCACGATCGCAAATGTGCTTCACGAAGTCACGAGCCACGCGCGCCGTGCAGCAGCTCTCAGCATGTGCAATGAGAGACTGCACGCAACCGTGTGCGAGCATTCCGCGGGCTGGGTGGGACACCCCTTTTGGCCCCTTGAGGTCGAAGCCCGACCGCACGGCAAGTGCCAGGCAAGCCAGTGGAGATAGGGGAAGCAAGATGCGGAGAAATTGGCACGCCTGAGATGGGTACGGGAAAAACGGGCACGATGCCGAATCGAAAATGTTGTCCAAAACCGAGTGCGGCCGCTGTTGGTCAGGCGACGTCCGCTTCACATGGACAACGCCCGCGGCGACGCCGACAGCGAATCCTGCTCCAAACGGACTAGAAGAACTGTTGTCGATCTTCGTAATTACACCTTGGCCTCTGGGACCGCGAAGAGGCCCACAAGAGGCCCCAATAGGACTCCAAGAAACTCTCAAGAGACCTCCGAAGAGACTCCGAGAGACATCCACGAGGCCTCTGGCCTTTCTGCTGGCCCTCGTCATCATCCTCTTCCTCCTCATCGTCCTCCTCCTCCTCCTCCTCCTCCTCCTCCTCCTCTCTCCTCCTCATCATCATCATCATCATCATCATCATCATCATCATCAGCATCATCATCATCATCATCATCATCATCATCATCCACCACCACACCATCATCATCATCATCATCATCATCATCAGCAGCATCAGCATCATCATCATCATCATCATCATCATCATACTCATCATCATCCTCATCATCATCATCATACTCATCATCATCATCATCATCATCATCATCATCATCATCATCATCATCATCATCATCATGCTCCTCATCATCATCATAAATATTATCATCATCATCATCATCATCATCATCATCATCATCATCATCATCAGCATCAGCATCATCATCATCATCATCATCATCATCATCATCATCATCATCATCATCATCATCATCATCATCATCATCATCATCATCATCATCATCGTCATCCGCCTGTTCCTCCTCCTCCCTCCTCCCCTCTCCCCCTTCCCCTCCCCCTCCTCCTGCTCCGATTCCTCCTCCATCCTCCCCCTCTTGGGATACGGCGACTTCCCCAGCCGTTCATTCCACTGCATGCTCCTCCACATCCCTGATCAGGGCAACTCGCCGGGGCATCGTTTCTAGATGAGCTGGTGGGGTTACGTGAAGCGTCTAGAACTTGCGTTTGTGCCGTTTTCCTTCCCCGAGCCCAGGAGGCCGAAAACTGCTTGTCCCCTCAGGACGAGGCTGTGGGAGGCGGAGCCCGGGAGGCCCAAAGAGGGGAAAGCGAGGCAGAGGTAACGCGGTATGGGCACCCTGTCCTCCTCTGGGCCACCGCCCTGGCTCTCCGCTGCCCCATCTCCACCCGTCGTCCTGCCATTCCCGGCGCCCTCCACCCCCTGTCACGCCGCCGGCGACATTCGCGTCGCTGCCCGCCCGCCCGACCCGCCCGTTGAGGCCCGCCCGCCGGTCCTGGTGCACCTGCTCCAAAGTTAGGACGAGAAAAAGATATGCTCCCAAAGTATTCAAAAATTCAAAAATGATCATAGGTTGTCAAAAAAAAAGTCCCCTGACTATTTTCCTCCTATTTGTGAATATTCCTGCTGTAGACCGGGAGCGGCCAAGAGGGGGGTGTCCAAGAGGGGGGGGGGGGGGGGGTAAATCATGACCGGCGGCATGTGTGCGGCCCAGAGGGGGGCCGGGAACGTAATGAAACAAGAAGAGGCGCCATGAAATCTGGGGAAATATCATGGCCCCCGCCGTGATATCCACCCCCCCCTAGTCATCACCCCCCTCTTTTCCGCCCCCGAGCAGAGGGACGTGCCCGAGCTAACTCCAGAGCCCTGCGCGCCGCCACACAGGCCGCCGGGCAGGCGGCACTGCCAGGCGGCCTGCGGGGAAGAGGAGGGGAGAAGCAGGCAGCCACGCCCAGAAGCGCCGCTCTGCGGGAGGGGAGCGCGAGGGAGGGATCGGGGAGACGTAAGACTCGGGTACGTGGGACTCGGGTTGGCCCGACGGGGCCATCATAAAAATGACGACGCCCAATCTGAAATTTGACGCGAGCTCCCGCTGCAGACATCCCACGAAAACTGGACCGTCAAAATCCAGGTCGCGCTTGTGAAAAAAACGTCGGCAAACACGCGTTCCGGCTTACTCGGGTCTTGCGTTTCCCCGAAGGGAGGGAGAGGGGGGGCTGGGCGAGGAGGCGGGCGAGGAGGCGGGCCTGATCATGGCGCGGTGCGTCCAGCCCGCGAGGACCAGCCCCTGCCGAGCCGCGTCCTCGCGCACCTGCAGGGCCTGGTCGACCTCTCTGGGGAGGGCGCGCGCGTCACAAGGGCCGCTGGGGCAAAAAAGAACTCGAGCGAGCGAGCGACAACGGCAGCAGTTCGGTTCGACCTCGGCGCGTACGGGCCGGGGCAGACTCGAATTGGTGGGCGCCTCAGGGCGTCCTCTATTGCTGCAGGTAGTGTTCAAGGCGAGGCGGTGAGAGCGCCTGAGGGATCCCTTTGGAAACCCGAAGTTGGAGGAGGAGGAGGAGGAGGAGGAAGAGCAACGAACAAAGAACTGAATACATCCGGAACTCAAATGTTCGGGCGGAGCCCTGAAAGTTCTGTTCATGCACTTTGTCTTCTTCGTGAATAGCGCTTGCGCTCTGTACTACTATGGAGAAGTCCCCCCCTCAACGTGCGAAGCAGTGCACACCACCACCGCCACGCCTGGCCAGGGCCATACTTGGCCCTGGCATGGTGTGAACTCCCCTCCTAGCCGAAGCCAAGGAGGTGCATACACCGTCGTGGGGCACACGACCCTGAGATCCCACGTCAATGAAAAATCGTTCAATAATCTCGACAGGAGCCCTAGACCTCATCTTTCTGCGGCGTTGTCTGGGCCACATCGACCTGATGGTCCTGGGGCCCGAAACCGGGCGAAAACGCCTGGTGTGCAAAAACTGCAACGTGCGGATCTCAGGGGATGGCCCTGGGTAGGCATAGTGGTGCTAAAGGCCTTCCAGCTTCAGTCGGAGTAAATGGGCTCGGGGGATCGCGCCGATGTCGCCGATGCATCGCCGATGCATCGCCGATGCACCCGCGACGTCGGCGGTACATCGGCGACGTCTACGTGAAGTAAAATGAGCTTCACATCGAGCCGCATCGTCGATGCATCGGCGGTGCGGCGCAATCCTCCGTCCCTATCCACTTCGGCCCAATCTGGGAGGCCTAGATAGACATGGTGGTGCACAGGTGCCCCCCGAGGACGCCACGCAGCTTGCAGCAAACGGTTACGTTGCTTGAAACAGAAAAGCGGCACAAACATAAGCTGTTGGCGCTCCGCGCGGATTTCTTGGATCTGCGCTGGACCCCCCTCCCTCGCGTGTGGAGCGCGCCAAGGGCAGCGCCAGAGGCACCGCTGGGAGGGCCCAGCGCGGATCCAAGGAATCCGCGCGGAGCTCCGAAAGTGTATGTTTACAGTGGAGGCCCGTCCACAAGATACCTTCCACAAGAAGCCCAACCCTGAGACCCCAGGACGTGCACTGCCTCTTTGGTGTGGGAACGCCGCACCTTCCATGGCGAATCCATCGAAACCCAAGAAACCCAGGAGACCGGTTTTTTTAATCGGCGATACCCCGGGTTATCCCGGGGGGGAGGAGGAGGAGGAGGAGGAGGAGGAGGAGGAGGAGGAGGAGGACGAGGAGGAGGAGGAGGAGGAGGAGGAGGAGGAAGAGGAGGAGGAGGAGGAGGAGGAGGAGGAGGAGATGGAGGAGGAGGAGGAGGAGAAGGAGCAGGAGGAGGAGCAGGAGGAGGAGGAGGAGGAAGAGGAGGAGTAGAAGGAGGAGGAGGAGGAAGAAGAAGAAGAAGAAGAAGAGGAGGAGGAGGAGGAGGAGGAGGGGTCCGGCCGATAACCTAACCCTCGCGCTGTGGAACACTGCATATGCCTGCGCCCCCCCCTCCCGCGGACCTGCACAACGGGCCAGGTCAGGTGATCCTGGGGAGGTGGGAGGGGGGGGCAAGCCCGATGACCCGGGTTCTCGCCCGACCCTGAACAAAAACAGTCTCCAGGGCACCCTGGAGGCAGGCAGGGCGCTTCTTGGCATGGGCCCCCCCCCGCCGTATGCTGCTGGCGCCGTGTCTTCTCCGAGCGGCAGAGAGCCCGCCCGCGAGGCCTCGCCGAGCAGGGCGTGGGCGCGCGCGGCCCGGTCGAAGGCCACCTGGTCGGGCTCGACGCCTTCCCGCGGGGGGGCGCCCGGAGGCTCACGGCCGACGCGGGGCGCCGAGGCCGAGCATCGCAGCCCCCGCCCACGTGCTCCCCTCGGGGCCTCCCAGATTTGGCTCGGGCCTGTCCCCCTGCAGGTGGATGTTGGAAGAAGGCTAGACAATGCGCCCAAGATACTCCACAGGGTCCCCCCCCCCAAAAAAATAATAAAACACAAAAAAAACGTCACCAGACGATGTTTCCATTCTGGAGCGTTCCTCCTGCAGAGGGACATGTCCGACTTTTAATCCTAGATGTGGGGTCGAGCGAGGGAGGGAAGCGAGAAAGAGACGGCCCTCTCAGAAGGCGGCGGGGCTTCTCAGAAGCCATCCGGCCTTCTGAGAGATTGTCCGTGTCTTCGGGGAGGGGTTCGGAGAGCTTCTTAGAATCGGCGGCGAGCGAGGGGGGGAACCGAGAAGGAGAAGGCCCTCTCAGAAGGCCGCGGGGCTTCTCAGAAGCCCTCCGGCCTTCTGTGAGATTGTCCGTGTCTTCGGGGAGGGCCTGGAAGATTTCTTTGAAGGCTGGGGTCTTCCGAGCCTTCTGGCCAATTGGAGGGGGAAGCATCGAGCCAGACTCGGCGACACACCGCCGACGGAGATCGGCGAGAGGCCCCCGAGAGCGAATCGGCACGCCCCCGCCCCGCTCCAGGGGCGGGGTGGAGGACCCCGGCGCCGAGTGCCGATGGGTGGGCGAGCGAGGGTCGACGCATCCCCCCTGGGCATGTGCGGGCCCCAAGAAGATACACCACCACCAGCACCACCACCACCACCAACTCCACTCCTCCTCCCCCGCCGCCCTCACCTCCCTCTCCCCCTGCCCGGGAGAGGGAGGGGTGACGGAGGTGCCGGCGCTGGTGTCCAGTGGAGGCCCGACCACGAGAAACCTTCCACAGGAAACCCGTCCCTGAGACCCCCTGGGCGTCCGTTGAGCTCTGGCGTGGGAACGTCACGCTCTCCACAGCAAAACCATCGCAACCCGAGAGACCTGGGGCACCCTGGAGGCAAGCAGGGTGCTGGGTGCTTCTTGGCATGGGCCTCCACCGCATACCTGTGGGCCCCGTGGCCTCTCCTCCCCCCCCCCACGTTGTTCCTGGCCCTTGCCTTGCTCCACCATGTCGCAGAAGAGCCTGAGCGTGAGCTCGGGCTTGGTGCTCGCCCGGATCTGGCTGGCGAGCTCCGCCGCGAGGCGCTCCTTGCCAGCCTCGGGGACGGGGAGACACCGGACGAGGACCGGAAAGAACGCAAAGACGGAACGCAGCCGTCATCCACTCTGGGTCCACGTACCCCAGTGGCTGCTCGAGCTACAAGAACGGCACCCCATGCACCGCACCGTGCTTGAGCTCAGTTCTGGCCCCGCTCCAACGCGTCAGTGCACAGCGGCTCGGCTCCAGGGGGACGAGAAACCAGGACCGACGACGCCTCGGGAGGCCTCGGGAGACGCCAACGCGGCACGGTGCACACCGCCGTCCGCGGACGAGCGTCTGCTCTCTGGCCTCGGATGGCCGCTTCCCGCGCGGCCGGCATGCGTCCCCTGCCGAGGCGGTGGGTCGTGCGGCACGGCGTGCGAACGGACAGATCGAAAAAGTACGCTCAGGTCGGGCATGTCCTCCTACAGGGGGATTTTGGAAGAAACATCCGAAATATTCTAAAAATGTCCAAACAATCAAAAAATCAACTCACGAAATCGTCCCCGACTATGTTTGAAATCTTCGAATATTCTTGTTGTAGAGGGACAAGCCCGACTTACAAGTACGCGCCAGCGGTTTTGCCCCGACGACGGCGCACGGGAGCCGTTTCGAACCCGCAGAACCGCCAGACATCGATATGGCATGGGCAACTGAACAGGATGAGACCTAGGGAGTATAGTCGAGGCGCTTTCATAAGGAAACGTAAGTGAGGAGCGAGGCCCCTTGCATCCTTCAGCTCAACTTCGATGTCCCATCGAAACCCCAAGGACCACCTAAGAGAAAGGAACACTGAGCCCCTCCCCAACGACAAGGGTTCCTTCTTCACCGGCCCGACTGAAGAGGAACCAGAACTTCACAAACAGAAACGTTCGGAGATCCGCGCAGATTTCTTGGATCGGCGCTGGGCCCCCCTCCCTGGCGCGCGCCAGGGGCGACGCGGGAGACGCCGCCAAGGCGCTCCCAGCGCCGATCCCAAAAAAACTGGATCCGAAGATGTGGTTTACGCGATTGGGCTCTGGTGGGATCCCAAGGAATTCCCAGGATTGCTTGAGAGGCCCTCTCAGGAATCTGGCACTTGGTAGGATCCTGAGGAATTCCTAGGATTCCCCAGGAGGCCCTCCCAGGAATCTGGTGATTCTCGATGCACCCCGGTTCTGACCCATGGTACCAGTTTCGGACGCCAGGGCCGACAAACATCGATATGGAATGAAGAACCAAATGGGCTTCAAATGGGCTCCGATGGGCTTCAAGTTGCCCGATCGGAGGAGCAGCAGCAGCAGCGGCAAGAGGACAAAAGCAGCATCACTGACGCTAACTCTCGGGGATCCGCGCGGATCCCTTGGGTCGGCGCTAGACCCCCTACATCTGGGCGGCTCCTCTGGCACCCTCCCGTCTGGTGCGCCGAGGAGGGCAGCCAGGAGGAGAAGGGAGGGCGCACCATGGACCGAGACAGGCGCGCGAAGGGGGCCAACGGACGCGTTGAAAGGAGAGGAGGTCGTGGCATCGGGGAGGTCTCGTGGCCCTGGCCATAACATCCACACACACACACACACACACCTCGTCCTCAAGCCCATCTTGGCCGCAGCCTCTCTGGCGCGATCCGCGCGCTGGGCAAGGCTTTATGGGGTGGCGTCGGGGGGGCATGCGGAGCATATGGAGCGCGCCGGGGTGCGGCATCGGAGGCGCCGCCCGGGGAGGGGGAGGTCCGGCGCCGACCTGGGAAATCGGCGCGCGCGACCTCCGAAAGCTATACACCCTGCGAAATGCTTAAGAAATCATGGGTTAAGAAATTCATAGCCTCAGAACTTGAATAAAAACCCAACATTTCCATTAACATCTTAAGATTTACATTAAAACGTTAAGAAAAATCGAGACTCTGGCCGAACACTTAAGTTTTCTTAAGCATCGCCTAAGGTGTATATCTGTGATGTTGTGGTCTTCGAGGAGTGGGAGAAGCCTTGGCGCTGCTATGACCGATCAGGTACGCCAGCATGGGCAGCGCGACGATCCAGACTTCCTCCTGGTAGTCCTGCGTGTAGACCTTGCTCAGAGCAAAAACCAGGGCGAAGATGCTCAGCAGCGCGTAGGTCCAGTCATGCGAAGCGTCTCGCGCAGAGGCGGTTAAAGAGGTGTTCATCCGTGGGAGATCGAAATGTGTTGTGTGTTGACGAAGATCTGTGTTACAGCGTCTGCCACATTACCCGTGACGAGTGGCTTGAGCCGAGAGAGGCGCACGAACGCGGCGAGGAGATGGGCCAGAGGGTGCCGAAACGAGGTCCCAGACGTCCGACGTCATGATTGTTTCGACCCGTGGGCCCAGGAGCTCTCACCCCTCCCCGAGGCCAATGCTTCGTCCCGGGCTGTCGCTTGATTGTCCTAGGACCTTTGAAGAGGCAAGGCCCCGGGAGGCCAACATTGAGGAGGAACGCCGGGATTGAGCGAGTCAGTGCACCACGCCCTCGAGTTGTGCCTTGTCGTCCCCGTACGAGGACAAACCACCCTGTTGCGCGCGGTCTGTCCTTCAATATGTATATCCGCCACGGTGCCACTGGGCACGGAGCGGGCGTGTCCTCAGTTCTATTGCCTCATCCCCTGAGCCTCAATCCTCGATCCTGAGGGTTCTTGAGGGGCCCGGATCCCGAACTCACAAATCTCATTGGGCTTGCCGCGGCTTTCCGCATGCTTGGCTCGTCTCCCCGCGTGACTTTGTCGGGCCCAAAAAATCCCCAAGACGGGCCAAGAGGGCCCCAAGCGGACCCCAAGACAGTCCAAGGGCCCCGAGACGCCTAAAAATCGCACCAAGACGCCCAAGATGGCCCCAAGACGGCTCAAAAAGCCTCCAAGATGCCCCAAGGGGCTTTCAAGAGGCCTCCCAAGAGAGCTCCGAGAGGTCAAATTCATTTGTCCACTGGTTTTTCAATGTTTCCGCTGTCCTCAACTGTTCGAGCTCCCGACGCTCCAAGATAGCTCAAGAGGCCCTCCAAACCGCCCCAAGACGGCCCGAGGGGGCCCCAAGAGCGCAGCAAGACGGCCCCAGAGGCGCACAAGACGATCTAAGAGGGCCCCCAGACGACATCAAGAGGGGCCCAAGAGGGGGAACACGGCCCAAAAGGCCCCATGAGAGGTCTCCAAGAAGGCCCAAGAGGCCCCCAAGAGGGCCTCCGGAAGGCCCGAAGATACCAAAATCAGTGACTGCTCTTCAGTGTTTGAAGAATACTGGCATTTGCTTCTGTTCGACCTTCCGAGCCAGAGAGCCCCAAAATATCACCCCAAAATCGCCCAAGAGGCCTCCAAGATGGCCCCGGAACGGCCCAAGAGGCCTCCAAGACGGCCGCAAGGAGCCCCAAGACGGCCCAAGAAGCCTCCAAGACGCCCAAGATGGCCTCCAAGACTACCCTGGAGCACCCAAAAGAGGGCCCCAAATCGGCCCAGAGAGGCCCCCCAAACGGCTTCCAACGGCGCCAGACGGGCCAGGAATGCCCTAAGACGGCCAAACAGGCTCTCGAAAAGCCCCCGAAGGCCACCAAGAGGCCCAAGGAGGCCCCCGAGATGCCTACAAGAGGCTCCCAGGAAGCTCCCAGGAGGCCCCAAGAGTGTCCCCAGAGGCTCCCAGGATGCCCTCTTCTTCTCCTCCTCCTCCTCCTCCTCCTCCTCCTCATCCTCCTCCTCCTCCTCCTCCTCCTCCTCCTCCTCCTCCTCCGCCTCCTCCTCCGCCTCCTCCCCTCCTCCTCCTCCCCTCCTCCTCCTCCTCCTCCTCCTCCTCCTTCTGCTCCTCCTCCTCCTCCTCCTCCTCCTCCTCTTCCTCCTCCTCCTCCTGATCTTTCCCGCCATCCTCCCCTAAATGTTCCCCGAAGGGTTTCTACAACGGCTGGGGGGACACATGGTCTGATAGCTTAGCAGATATCTTGCCACAACGCTCGGCCACCTAGGCGATTCCAAAAGGCAGGGGGCGGTGGTGATTCGCCGTTAAGCGCCTTCGATAGGTATATACAAATGTCCGGGCATCTGTATACGTACACGAATGCAGGATTTGCCGGTACGGCTCTGCCCCGCGCATGAATCGCCAGCCGCCCCCTGGCAACGACTTCCTCATTCTTCTCCTGCTATCCTCATCCCCGTTGCGCCCCCCCTTCCCCTCAGCTGTGCTGGTTGCACTTGCGCTAGATGGTGTCCACAGGCCATGTTGTGCCAAAAAAGCCAGTTTCGTGTGCGTGTGTGTTACAATATCGCCACCACATATGGCGAAATACCAAGTTTTAGCTGCGCACTATGCCTACATCATTGCCACTGCCTTCCTCCAGAAGATACAATGTCACTGGCATATCGCCCAAATTACATCACAAGTTGCGCAATCGCAGCAAAACCAATGCTTGATCAACCTTGCATGTACTGCGATGGCACAATAAAATGAGACTGATCGTCCCGTATACGGCTTGCCACACATCGTTCCTCATTCTGCTCCTGCGCCGCCTCTTCATCATAAAAGACAAGTGCAGTCTTCCAGCCAACACCAGCCTCTAGTTACTCATGTACTGGAGGCGACTGGACCTGTTTTCGACGTCAAGTCTGCCACCGCAGGTGGATAGCTTGGCGATCGGCACGCGCGGTGCTCCAACGATGACGCGCACCGCTTACAGAGATAGCTCGAAAGCTAAAAACATGGCCACGTACGGGCCAAGTGTACCTAGACACAGCAAAAAAGGAGAAAGGGTGACGAGTTACCGCAAGAGCACTCATGCCAGCGCGAGGCCTCCTTGAAGACGCGGCAATGGAAGTACTGACCCTGGCGAGTGTGGATGAGGAAGGAGGGAGGGAAGAGGGGGAAGAAATGGGGAGGGAGGTTTCTAGTGTGATTATGATAACGGAGAAGAGCAGGAGGGTGCGGGATGAGGCGGTACGGACGTCCTCGTCGAACGAGGGCTTGGTAAATGATCCTGTGCTCCGTAGACGCCACAGGGGCGGGATGAGGCGGGACGGACGAGCGAGGAGGGAGGGAGGAGGGGGGGAGAGTCAGGAGGAAAAAAGATGAGAAGGTGGGAGGGAGATGTGGAGCAGGAGAGACTTGCGGATGCCATGACAATAGACACCCTAACAATCCTATCATTGAATTAAAGATGTATCTAAAATATTTGAAAAATGCTCTAGCAATGTTTGAAACATGTTGTTTGCATGTTGGGGGCATCTTCTAAACGTGTTTTAGACATCTAGAAATGATCTGGCAACATGCTTCCTCTCCGTGGATCGTCGTCCACAAAGCGAGAGGGAGAGGGAGGAGAGAACGGACGAGGCGGGCGGCGGGCGGAGCAAGAGCCCCCGAGCGGACGGCCGGGAGCCTGCCGCCCGGGGCCGGGGCCCAGCTAGCCGTCGGCGCCGAAGTCGAACTCGAAGGGTATGCCGTACTCCTCCATCTTCTCCTCCGCGGGTGAGGGGCAACCACAGGGGGGGGGGGCTGGCACAAGGGGGACTGGCATCGGCCTGGAGTCAACGATGCATCGCCGATGGATCGGCGACGGGCCCCAGACAGTGAAGCCGCACCTCTTCCCGTGCAGGTCGGGGCTGTCGGGCCCCTATGGGCGATCGGTGGGCGATTGGGGGTCGATGCAGCTCCCCCTGCAGTGGGGGCTCGGCCACAAGAGACCTCCGCAAGAAACCCAACCCTGAAATCCGCGATTTGGTGAGTGAAAACCCGAATTCGTCGATCGAAAAACATCCAGATCTGATTGGGGGCCCATCGAAATCCAAGAGAAACCCAGGGCACCCTGGCAAAATCCAGCTGGTCTCTTGGCACGCGCCCCCCCAGTATGGCCTGCCCCCCCCCCTGCCGTTGGCCCCCGCGCGAGGGGCCGCCAGTCTCTCACGGCCGATGGTCGCCCGCGCGGCGCAGGGGGGATCGGAGATGGACAGACTCCCCTTTAGTAAAACGTGGTTTAGTGAAAACGACCTGAGGCCCAAACCTGGCGGGCGCAAGCCTGGAAAATAACGGCCACGGCGCCCTCTCGAGAACCGAAAACGGACAATTCACTAATCGGCGTGTCACTGTTGGGGGTTCTGTCCACCCCCGAGGGGAGGCGAGAGGGGGGGGGCCTCTCGGGAGACTCCGGCGGATCTCGGGGGGGCCCTCCGGCCCTCTGAGGAGCTGCCCGCGTCTTCGGGGAAGGCTCGCGGCACTTCTCAGGAGGCCAGGGGCCTCTCGAGCCTTCTCTTGGGTCGGGCATGTCCTCCTACAGGCGGGTGTTGGGAGAACAAGACAAGATAGCAAACTACCCCCCAAAATACTCAAGCATGATCAGAGGTACTGAGAAAAAGCGTCCCCTGTTTACGTTTGGCTATGTCCGAATGTTCCTCCGGCAGAGGGACGTGCCCGACTTAAGCCTTCTGGGAAGGCCCGCCCCCTCCGACTTCCCCCCATGGGCTCGCCGCCGAGGTGGCTGCAGAGCTGGCTTTTTGTCGGGGCATGGGTCTGGCCCGCTCTGGAAGTCTGGGAGAGCCCTCGTCGCCGCAGCGGGGTTCTCCTCGAAGTTCGATCGAGGGACGAAGGGCGACCAAAATAACTGCACTCAATCGGGATTCCCCTCGCAGTTCGATCGGGATTCACCTCGAAGTTCGATCGAGGATCGAAGGGATTCCCCTCGAAGCTTGATCGGGATTCCCCTCGAAGTTCGATCTCGGAGGTCCGCGCGGACATCTTGGATCGGCACTGGATCTCCCCTCCCTGGCGCGCGGAGCGCGCCAGCGCCTACAGGGGGTTCACAACGCAAATCTCAGCCCCCCCCCACGGAAACAGGCCGAGGGCAACCGCTGCGTCCCGTCCCGCGGCCCCGCTGCAAGTGCGAGGGCTGTCAGCGCTTCTCACAAGCATCCGCCGTGGAGAGGCTTCCCAAGGTAGAGGGAGGAAATGGAAAAGGGGGAAGGAGAAGGAGGAAGCAGAGCAGGAAGGCGAGGAAACATAGGAAAAGGAGGAAGAGGAGGAAGAAGAGGAAGAAGAGGATGAAGGGGAAGAAGAGAAAGAGGAGGGAGAAGAAGAGGAAGAGGAGAGAGGGGAGGAGGAGAAAGGAGGAGGAAGAGCACGAAGAACCAGATAGGGCGGGGCAGGCGCTGGAAGCATCCCGTGGGGCGGCCCCCATCTGGGAGCTCGGCCCGAGCTCCTGGGCACCGAGGCTCGGATTCGGAACATGGCATACGAGGCTGGCTCGGATCAGGACACGACCGGGTTGACATGCGATCAAGAATAGAGGCCTCCCGGATGGGGTCCGATTCGATGGGGTCGGAGGATCGCGCCGCA